TCTCCCTGGTACATGTATACATGTCTTCCTACCAATATGACCAAGTTGCGAAAACAAAGTCAAACAACTTCTATACAACGTAAGGATACTGCGACCACACAAAAGACCACACCATCTTGGTCTACATACCTTCCTTTAAACTAGTGTTTAATGCTTATATTTCTAACTTAATGTGTGTATGTTCAAGTTTTCTAAACCAATTCGGAAATGTCGAAAGTATTTTATAAAATGCTTTACAGATTTAAAAAAAATTGTTTATAACTGTTAGCGGATTCTCTTTTATTAATGATTTTTCTTAATCACATTAAAATGATTTTTGAGACCAAATATTTTAATGTAAGCTTATATCTTATCGTCTTTATTTTGACAAATGTCTGTTCGACAGACCCAACGAAGACATCACGCCTCTCTTCTCGACCATCCAAAAAACTCTCTCTGGTTGATAAATCCAAGCGAGTATGCTCTTTCAAGTCGGACCTAAACTCGGATCTCACTTCAGACCTCAAATCGCGTCTTATTTCACTACACAAGCCCGATCTACAAACTTCACTCTCCTTGGACTCTCTCAAAACTGATCGCTCAACCAGCCCGACCATCTTTGTCTCTAACCGTGTACCTTTCGACCAAAATAATAATGGGAACATGAATGGACCTGGTTTTGAGCAAACCAGCACTGGCCAGGGCGCCTCCACTTTGCCAAGTCTTGGGCCCAATCGGTTTTGGGGTCGCCGCAATTTGCATTTGGTTCATCCAACCAGGCCGCTTTCTCTTCGTGGACTTTACCTGCCTGTGGCTACTGCTTTAAGTACAGATTCAATTGACAACGGTTCTTTGGGATCTTCCACGTTAGTTAAGGACATGCAGACACCACCTAGCTCATCATCTACGAACTTGACAGAAGCGGGTACAGCGACACTACCAGATAGTCCTGCCAGCACATACCTTCTGTCTGGAGGTTCTGGCTTGAGCTCTGCTGGATTTGGGCTTAGTTCCGGGACCGGAGGAAGTGGGGCGCCAGGGCCGATTCTAGCTACTGACACTGCTGGGTCGCTAGCAACAATGCACGACCTGCTGGAGTGGCAATGGGATCAAGCTAGCAGCTTACTTATGCAACAGGCTGAGGGATCAGACAGTCAGTAATCTTGACGCTTACATTATTGCTTAACCTGAAAACATATATACCACAAATTATTGTCCCGAATATATGCTCTACGAGATTCGTGGATTTCAAGTTATTATGGCTTGGGCAGAGGAAATACTGTTTTATAAGAAGATTTATAAGAAAGCAAGAATTATATGCCTCCTCACATTCATTTAAGAATTTCTTATAAATTAGCTGAATTGAACATGAAGTCCGCGCCTAGAGCCTCTATTCGATTAATGGGGAAATTAAACATCTTATTTAATATATTCTCTCATCCTAAACCTCTGATTGAAAGCTGCTAAATCTGTGGACCTGCGTTTCATTCCCCATCTTTGCTTTAATACTCCCTCCCTTTGCTTAGGCTAGATGGACTTTCCACAGTCTCATTGACCATCGTCTCTATTATTGAGAGGGACTTTCAT